TTTATTTATATAGATACATATAAGTATATGTATACATATATATGTATATACCTCTCCCTGCGGCGACGACCTCCCATATCATCAAGTAATGAGGGCAATTGAAGTTTAACACAACTTCAGTTTCTCTGTATTTATATAGATACATATAAGTATATGTATACATATATATGTATATACCTCTCCCTGCGGCGACGACCTCCCATATCATCAAGTAATGAGGGCAATTGAAGTTTAACACAACTTCAGTTTCTCTGTAGTGACAGTCTTCGTAAGCATATCAGTCGGATTCTTGCTTCCTTGAATCTTCACAAGTTCCAACATGTCATCATCCAATGCTGACCTTATGAAGTGATAACGGACCTATATGTTTTGGGTCCGAGCATGAAAAGCTAGCTTCTTTGTCAAATGAATGGCGCTCTGGCTATCACATTGTAAAACGCTCTTCTCATTTTTCTGTCCCAACTCCTCCAAGAATCCCTGCAACCATATGAGCTTTTTGCTAGCCTCTGTCACAACAACATATTCTACCTCTGTAGTCGACATAACAACAATTTTCTACAACTGAGAAACTTAATTGATGGTTGTAGAACCCAAAGTGAACACATATCTCATAATGTTCCTCCTCTGATCTATCTCACCAGCATAGTCTGCATCAACAAAATCCTGCAGAACCAATTTGCCTCTCTTGAAGCATAAACAAATTTCTATTGTACCTTGCAGGTACCTTAGAATCCATTTTTCTACTTCCTAATGCTGCTCTCCTGAATCTGATATGAATCTGCTTACAACTCCCACTGCATAGGTAATGTCAGGTCTCGTGCACACCATGGCGTACATAAGGCTTCCAATGGCTGACGAATATGGAACTTTCATCATGTAATTTTTCTCCTTATCAGTCACTGGACACTGCTCCTTGTTCGCGGTGAAAATCGTGTCTTTCTTCATTATTGATTTCATTGTCATCTCAAATAACAGCTTTTCGATTCTTCATTATTGATTTCATTGTCATCTCAAATAACAGCTTTTCGAGTTACAAAGATCCGGTCTTTTTTAGATCCGGTTACAACGAAAATCAAAGAAAATAAAAGAAAAGATTACAACTTTCTCCTTGTTTTTCGAACACATCGCGAGCTCCTGTTTTGCGGTTGCTCGCTTGTGTGGGTTCTTTGCCGACGCCAGGGTTAATCCGTGGACCACCGCGCGATCTAGATCCGGTCGGATCTACACGATTTGACGGGTATTATTTCGCGAAGGAAATAATAGCCGGGGGGGATTAATTCACCAAGGAAATAATCGCCCTTAGTTCTCGGGATCAAAGGCCAAGCTTTGATCCGGAGTGTGATCTCGTGTAGATCTCAGATCTGAGCTTTACCTCTCTCGAACTCCTGCCTTTTATGACGTGGATGCTCGCCGAGAAACAGATCTGAATGCTCAAGTCCTCAAATCTTCAAAACTCCAAGCTCGATCTTCAATTCGGCAGAGTTTCGGCTCTCAAAGTTTCAACCTTTTCAAATGAACAAAGGGGGGCCTATTTATAGGCTCTCTGAACTGTGCCCGCGCACAGATCTGGGTCGGCCACCTATGGGTGGCCGGCACTGGGCCGAGCCACCCATAGGTGGCTCGGCTCTTGGCCGAGCCACCCATGGGTGGCTCGGCTTTGGCCGAGCCCCCCTTAGGCGTTGGGTTTCATCGTTTTGTCCGGTCTCATGGTTGATTCGGACTCTGATTTGTTGATCTGATTTGGCAGTAGATCTGATTCCTGATTTGGTAGTAAATCCACTTCTGAGTTCGAGTCCGAAACTGATCTTGATTCGATCGTGATTCGTCCGAGTCTGCCCTTGGTTGGATGACTCGTTGACTCTTCGAACCCTTGGCTTGATTCCACACGCGAATGGATGTATTCCGTTGCTTGCGTGCGATTCGTCAACCTCGTCGCCTCGTTGGTTCGTCGGTTTGTGCCGAGCTGTGCTAAGGGACCTATAAGCAATTTTATACGCCTACAGATACCCCCTCCAAAGTATTTCAGCCTCGTTCTTTTATAGAAGAGTCTGGAATACTTTGGATATGATTGTCCCAACCTTCAGTCGGTGTAACGGGACCTTGGAATGGCTTCTGTTCTTGATTCCTTCAATCCTCCAGGCTATTCGGTGCTTTGTCGAATGTCTGTAAGAGTTCCGGTGCTGCATTTATTGTCTGACCGTTGTCGGAATTTTAAACTTGAAGTCGATTCCTGATTTTCTAATCTTTAGCTGACCATCAATTGTTGGCGTTGAGTCTTTATTTGCGACGCATTGTCCGGCGTAGTGTTGTTGAGTTATCCTTAAGAATATTTATAAAAACATTCTTCAAGAACTTCTCAACCAAAAATAGGGAACGGTTTATACTCATATACCTTATTGGAGTATTTTCTGTGCCCGAATGAGCTGAACCGGCTTGATAATGAGCCAAAAAATGCAGTAATTAGGCTCAAAAAATCTTCTGATCCTTCCGAATATGTGGGAGAGGCAAGAATACACCAAGGACTGAACCCTCGGTCGATTTGAAGTTGTTTCGATGCTCGATTCAGCTTCAATTTGAATTCTGGTTCAAACCAGGTCTGGTCCGGTTCAACTAGGCTTGGTTCAACATTATAAAAGAGGGTTTTTTTCTCCTCATTAGGGCCGGCCCCCCTCTCTCCCTTTTTTTCACTTTTCTCTTCCCTCGAGCATACGTTCTCCCTCAAAACTTCATAGTTGCATTAGATCTAGTCTTCCTTTGGATCTTTGACTGAGAAATCCCTCAAAACTTCCATATTTAGAATTTCTCTCAGGCCCCTCGAGCGCGTGGTCCGAGCCTCTTTCAAGATCTGATTTTTATTAGATCCACGAGCTTTTCCTCAGGTAAATCCTCAATCATTTTAGTATATTTTATGCTTAATCCAATTTATGAATTTGTGGGGGCGCATGCGAGGGTTAGGATTAAGATTTGGCGCTTCGAGCTCACCTTTCAGGGGGGAGAATTGCAAAAAAAAGAGGAATTTTTTCTGGATCTGATTCCTTAATCTATTTTGCAGGTCACCATGTCTCGTATTGCGAGGGGTCAATCCTCTACCGCGTCGGCTGATGGCGCGCCTCCCTCTTATGCTGGTGAGCTATTTTTTTGGAAATTTACAAATTAGTCTATTTTTTCTTGGAAATTTGCAAATTGGTCCTTCTCACCCCATTTTGTTCTCCTTGGCGAGGCAATCGGGAAGAGCCTTGATTCTCCTTGGCGAGGATCGACGCTTTAAAGATATGTTTTGCTTGGTCAAAACCATATCTCAAGAGATGTCGTGGCGCTTGACGGAGGAGCATGAGAGCGTTCATTGCGGCTACATCACTCATCAGGCAGCTCCTGGTTCGAGCAGGAGTCATATTACTGGATTGCATCCTGGAGTATTGGGGTTGGATGCACCGCCGCGCAACGAGCTTCTTGCCTCTACTTCTACTTTGAAGAATCGCCTC